GCCTTAGTTCGTTTTGGAAGAAATTTTTAATTTTTGCATATACATTAGCACACAGAAACATTAAATCATACATATGCACATACACACACACACACACACACACACACACACACTCTTGTATGTACATAGAAATTTTCTGGAAGCACACGAAGAAAATGTCACCACTAGGGCTGGGGGTATAGCGTATAGTGAATGACAAAGAACTTGCCTAGCATTCCAAAGGTCCCCGGTTCAATTCTTAGCACCACCAAAAAAAAAAGAAAAAGAAAAAGAAAAGTGTCCCCAGTGTCTGCCTATGAAAGGGAGACCCAGAGGTCTGGAGTAAGAGGGAAATTACTTTTTATTCGATACCTTTCTATTAACATGTAACATCTATCTCTACTACTGTCTGAACATTTTAACATATGCATGTATTACTTTTTCTGTTAAGAAAAAGTCTGAACATTTTTCAAATTCACCAGTAATTTAATGTCCTTCACTAATGTCCAAATCATTTAAAATGTTATAAAGAACATTTTAAATAAGGTAATTTCTTCAGTTAGCAGCCTTTTTTCACTCTAAACCTAAACTAGCTACTAAGTAGCTTTACAACCCTAATCTTAGAGGAAATTAAAATTACTACACCTGTATTAATAATATTCATATATCAGAAGCATTATATGTAAGTATGTAATATATAGTTATTCAAGAAATATTTTTGCCCTCTATGTACAATATACTCTTCTTTAAGCCATGGACTCATCTACAAATAAATGCTTGATAAAGAAAGCATATACATAAGCATGTGCATATGTATGTATATAGTTTACATGTGTGTTCCCAGGATTGAAGCCACCACTAGTAAACTCAATCTGCCAGACCAAGTGGTCTTTTGGTGCATCTTCCAAATGTATAAGCGAGAACTACTAGTGTTATCTTACATGTGACTAGGCTTTGAGCTAGTCCTGGGGCCCCATGTCCACCAAGTTTTTTCATCTTACACACCAGCGGAAAGGATCAAGAGACTATTTTTTTCTAAAGTTTCTTCCCTTAATTCTTACCTGAATTAGAATTGAAGCCTGAGAATCAACAGTTAAATTTAGTAATTCTCAATCTATACATTCCCTCACCACCCTCACCTTCTTCCCTGAGAATCAACATTTATGACGAGAGATACTTGGGTTGGGCACAGAGGTACAGGCCTGTAATCTCAATGACTCGGGAGACTAAAGCAAGTCAGATTAAAGCAGGAAGATTGCAAAAGGCCAGGCTCCACAGTTTAGCAAGACCCTACCTCAAAATAAAAAATACAAAGGGCTAAAGATACAGTTCCTTGTACAGTGTTTCTAGGTTCAGTTGCCAGTAACACACACACATACGCACACAAAGCAGGAAAAGAAGGGCTGTAATTCATGAAGCTTGTAGAATATATAAACATTCCGGATTGTGAGATGTGGAATGTGAGATTGAGGCTCACTGGTCTCAGCAATCTAAGGTCCTGATCTAAGGTGTTCACTTATGAATAGCTGATGAATTCATGTGAACCCTAACATATATGAGCAAGTGTAAAATGCAGAATTTTTCATATTCAATACATTTTTTGAAATTCAAACATTTTATTCAATGATAATAATTATCTGTATTCATAACAAAATATGCTCAATATTTTTATTAGAAAGTCAAACAGAAACCAAAAATAATTATGCTTTTTCACTTCAGTCTCCATAAACTTGCTTTACCCCAAACCATAGATAACAACAAAATTAAAGAGTATAATCTTAGCTATTACCACAAGTTCACTGACCTTAGGAAACCAATTCTCATGAAAATAGTTGTAGAATGACTTTTGCAATTTTTTTTTTTAATTTTCACTTTTTGTAATGGGGATTGAACTCAAGGGCATTTGCCACTGAGCTACATTCCCAGCCCTTTTTATTTTTTATTTTGAAACGAGGTTCACTAAGTTGCTTAGGGCCTCACAAAGTTGCTGAAGCTAAACTTGAACATGTGATCCTCCTGCTCACCCCCAAATCTCTGGGATTACAGGCATGTGCCACTGCCCGTGGCGGCAAATTTATTTTTAAAGAGGACAGCCAAACCCAATAATTTTACTGGTTCCCTTTTCGAATTCCTCATGAAAGTTGTCCATTGACAACAAACTCTCACTGTGGATTTTTAAAGATGAACATTAAAACATACAAATAATCTTTTAATATCCATAATCATTTGCTTTGTGTTCATGATCAAATTAAGAGAACTTTGGAACCTTACAGGCCGGGACAGCACAAAGCTTCATAAACGAGTAACATAACCTCCATATAACAACTTATATGTATATATGTGACATATATGCAACTTTTTAATTATCAAAAACAACCGTGGATGTATGGTCTCAACTCTAACTTTGCAGGAACTTGCAAAAACGAAAACCTGGCCAGCTTTCTGTTGGATGCACGGTGAGTGCTCAAACAAGGAGCACCATCCATTTACCGCTGGCGTAGGCTCACGTCTTCTGCTTACCAGACAGCCGCAGGAGGAGGACAGGATGCCAGGTGTCACCTCCCACCAACCCTCCCAGATTGAGCCAAGAGAGGAGCAGCCTTCTGCCCACTGGAAGGAAAGTGGCAGGCGCACCTTAGTCTGGCTGGTTGGCCTACACACGCAGGAACATGCTACCGAACCACGCCACCACAAGGAAGAAAAAATAAAACACTTCTTTTAAGTTCAGCTTTTCTCACGCTCCTGCCAAGCGGCTAGTTCCCAGTTCCTTGGGCAGGGCCTGACAGGGACTCAGGATCCCACCATGGAAGCCTTGGAGCTCCAAGGCCTGGAATCCCAGGCTGCGGGGTGGTCAGTCCGCACCCTTGGCCCCTCCCCTCCCCCAAACCCCGCCCCACACTCCAGGCACCGCCCCCTCCCCTTTTCCCTCTAGTTCCTGGGATCACCCAGCGTGCGTTTGCTGCTGCACCCCAGGCGCCCTCTCCACCTCCCAACTCCTCCGCCTCCCAATCTCCACGCTCCCGCAGCCCTCCTTCCCGCCTCACCTTGGTCCGGATCTGCCCCGAGGTGGACACTTTTCGGATCAGTTTCTGGGGTCCCTCTTGCTCTACTTCGCTGTCAGATGAATCCTCTCCGGGCCCCGCTGAAGCAGCGGAGGGGGTGACCACAGTGCCGGTCCCGGCAGCAGCTCCTCCAGCGGCACCCGGAGGGTGGTGCTGGCCACTGGCCCCCGCCATCCTCTCCGACTCCTGCAGGGACAGAGCACCGCCCGGCGTGGGGCGGTGGCAGAGATCAGAGGGTGGGCTCTACCCTGGCAGTGCCCTGGAACCCCGCGCCCAGCTGATGCCGCCATCTTCGGTTACCCTTACCCTAGCCATCCCCACGGGGAAAGGATCATTGGGGACCAGATGCCCAGCAGTCAGGGACTGGACAGGCTTTTCTGCTTCATTCCCGCCAGAATTTCTGTGTAATGAAGCACTGTAGACACAGAACCCTTTCCCGACTAGGACCCCTGTGTACTCAACCTCAGAATAAGACCAGCGCAGGTTGAGAGGACAGGATGACAAAGGGATAGGCCAAATACCCTCCTACTTCTTCTAGGGTCTGGGGTCCTCAGGATGGACCAGAAGGCAGGACGGCAGAAAACCAAGGTAGTAGTCAATCCCGCCACAGGTCAGGCAAGGACGGATGGTGCTCTCTCCCTTGGTTATGGGCAGCAAGGGTAAGAATGGCCCCTCTCAGTACTTGGATCTACCTCCCGACTCCCTAGAGGGCATCCCACCACCTCCTGGACCCCGAATCTCTGCAGACACTTGGGCCTTGTTGCATGGTTCCAGCAGAATAAAAGTCCCCTCAGCCCCACTCTGGGGACCATACCTCTCCTTCCTCCGCCTGGAAGTGCCGGCCCTTAGAGCTTTCTCCACTGTGGTGGTGTTTAGGTTTTGGTCCATCCCCACCCCCATCGGGCGCACGAGGAAGTGAAGGGTATTTTCCGGGAGGTTTAGCTCTGCTCTGAGAACTTTTCGTTCAGAAAGAGGGATCCCCTTTGGCTAACAGGAAACTGGAAAGGGCGTAGAGAGAGCACAGAAACCAGAGAGGACACGCAGCCCAAGACGACAGAGTGCGAAATAAATGTCTTAATTGAAGTGCTAACCGAGACTGCCTGAAAGAAAACAAGGCATTCAAGCTCTGTGAACACCAGTACCCGAACACAGGGCGGTGGGGGCGGGGTGTTAAAAAGGAGAGGGGGGGAAAAAAACCATGCGTACACACACACTGGGAAGTCCTGGGAGAGCCACTCCCTAACCAGGACTGGAGCGGGAGGAAATGGAATCAACAGGCTGAGTTTTGATCACCGCTCAAAACTCGCCCCTTGCAAGCCAGTTGTGTGGGTGCTTGAGAACAGCAGCCTTGCTGCAGGTCATGCACACTCAATATTCAAAGGTCCCTTGCAGGTCTGGAACAGCTTGAAGAGAAAATACTAAAATGACAGATTCTTCTTGTCATCCAAAGAGAACTTCAAACTATTGTTAGCTATATTTTTAAATAGGGTACAAAGTCCTTGACAGACCATAGGGTCTCTTCACCTGGATAAAGCACTCAGTCTCTGCAACATGTCCTTACCCTTCTATACACATTCCTTTTTAATTTTCTTTATTTATTTATTGGTTGACTTGACCTTTAACATTCCTCCATATAACAACATATATGTATATATGTATATATGTAACTTATATATGCAACTTTTTAATATTAAAAACAACACATGCAACTTTTTAATTATAACTAAGATTCTGGGTTTTTCCCTCCTAGTTGCAATCCAACTTCCAACAATAATCTGATTTATGTGTTAGGGCTGACAGTTCTAACAAGTTTTAAGAAAGAGTATGCAAATCCTAACACTGTAGATTAAATTCATGAAAATGTAAAATGCACTGACTAGTTTCTATCCTCCAAGACAAGGAGACTGCTGCCACATAATGCTTACAGAGATGACTTATCTAGCTTCAGCTACTGCTTAGGAAAAGAAGGAGCCAGCAAAATGAACTTGAAGAGTTCTTCTGGCCCTATAAACACGTAATTTTATATCTAGAAACACATATATCACTGGAAATTCTTTAAGAGAAAAATAAGCAAAATAATGGCCTTTATCCCCATCTGACATTTAGTCACTGACAAGTCTATGACTTAGCAATGTAGTAAAAGAAACCTAGTAAAGGGTCTTTTGAAAGAATAAGTTTAATTCAGCCCTCTTTTAATGTAAAGAAACTGAGGTATAAAAGCACAAACTGGGACCAAAGTCAAAATTGTGATTACTATTAAAATGTTCTATTCACTTTATCATATTAAATAACAAAAATAAATTTGTCCTCTATCATTTACTTCTACTCACACATTATGCTTTCAAGTTTTATATAGCAACATTTTCCAGAATTCAGGGAAGGGGTGGTTAAATGGAAAGTCTTTTTTAATGCCTATGCCTACTGTGTGATCCAAAAGGAATAGTATGGATTACATATGGTGGGGGGAGTGACCAAGGATTGGACTCAGGGGCACTTAACCACAGAGTGACATCCCAGCCTTTGTTTGTATTTAATTTAAAGACAGGGTTTCACCAAGTTGCTTAAGGCCTCGCTAAGTTGCTGAGGCTGGCTTTGAACTCTTGATCCTCCTGCCTCAGTCTCCCAAACCACGGGGATTACAGGCATGCACCACCACACCCTGCTTGGATTACATTTTTATTCTTTGATTCAAATACTGATTGCTTAAAGATACTTTAAAGCACTTTTACATCCAGGAACTGGGAAATTAATACCTCAAAGTAAATGTATTTCTTACTTATAAAGATTTAACCTCACAGTCAGCTCTATAATTTCTCTACCCTGTAGAAAATTCAGGGTGAGCCCAGTGTGGTGGTCCACACCTATAATCCCAGACTGAGACAGGAGGATCACAATTTCAAAGCCAGCCTCAGCAATTTAGCAAGGCCCTGAGCAACTGCAGGAAGACCCTATCTCTAAAAAGGCTGGGAACGTGACTCAGTGGTTAAGCACCCCTGCATTCAATCCCTGGTACCAAAAAATAAATAAATAAATAACTCAGAAAATATGGTGTAGGCAAATGAATAAATGCCACCTCACTTCCCAAGAAAGGAAGCTCATCAAAATTCTTTTCAACCATCTCTTCTGAGAGACTTTTAAAGAATCCCTAATTTAAGGTACTTTTATTATTGTTACTTTGAGATCTCTGAGGTTTCCTGCATCTCATATATTTTATATATATATATATATATATATAAATATATATATATATATATAATATATGAAGATGCATAAATCATAGCCAAATATCATGCTCATACCAATTTTATGAATATTAACACACAACTATCTACAGATGTAATCTGAATTATATTCTTATCAATCACTACTCATAACAAAACAGAATACCATTAACAACTTTTAAATTCCATACATTCTGTGGTTTAATATTAAATATGATAGCATAAACAGGCTGAATGCTACATTTTATATCCTGAAGACAAGTGAGCACATTTAAAAATTCATATTCTAGGACTCCTGTTCCTCATCAGTAAGGAACACATGTTCAAGGAACTTTGCCAGTTGACCAAGTACATGCCCAGAAGACTGTTTTCACTAAAACTTTAGAACAATTTCCATGGTACACTTTTCTTACATATTCATAATTTAACATTCAAAACTTTATCTTATTAAAATTTCCTTAGTTGTTATCTGAATGAAAAAGATTTGAGATCAATTGTGGTATCAATTGCACATACATGTGGTCACCCTTGTAACTAAGGCAAAAATCATTATCTAAATATAATGCAGTACTACATTAGTTATCTCTCATTTCTAGTCTGATCCTATTCCTTTGAAACTCTTTCCTTCCTAATTTTTTATAAATTTGGATTGTTTTACAGACACTATCTGGTATTATATTATTTGGAAATATAAACAAAATGTAGTAGGTGAAATGTACTCTAATACCCTTCCACTAAGAACTACTTTCTACATGCCTGTAATCCCAGTGGCTCCACAGGCTAAGGCAGGAGAATCAGGAGTCAGCCTCAGCAACTTAGGGAAGTCTTAAGTAACTCAGTGAGACCTTGTCTCTAATAAAATACAAAAACTGGCTGGAGATGTAGCTCAGTGGTTAAGTGCCCCTGGATTCACTCCCCAGTACTAAAAAAAGAAAAAGAAAAGAAAAAAGAAAGAAAGAAAGAATTACTTTGTAAATAGTCCTACATTTTGTAAATTTTGGCTTGAATTCTACTTACCCCCTCCTCCAAGATATTACTCTGAGTAAGGATTGCTTGGCTAAACATCTTCCTGACAATCCATACCCACAACCAAGATACTTTTTAATTGATTATAAATTTAGGTAATACCTATATTTCCACTGAGACCTGATTATATTCCAAAGCTAGCATTAATGAAAATACACAGAAACTTAAATGCTAACATTATCATCTTTAGGCCCAATGTCCCAGCCAGAGTAGAGGGACTACTAGCTAATTTAAATGTTCCCATTTAAAGAACAAAGAATGTCATGAAGTCCCAGCAACTGCTTGTCAGCTGCAGACATGGGTGCATTTTTGACAAGAAGTACTGTTCTCTAGGCTGGGATATAGCTCAGTGGTACAGTCCTTGTCTAGCAAGTTCGAGGCCTAGTTTTGATCCCCAACACAATAAAAAAGAAACAAGAAAAAAGAAAAGAAATTATGTTTCCTTTACAGTTAGCTAGCATCCATTCCTGATAGTTCATTCACTCTTCTGCCTGAAGAGTAGACTCACATCAAAAAAGAGTAGATCACATCAAAAAAGAATGAGGGCTAGGACTATGGCTCAGTGGTAGTGCACTTGCCTGACATGTGTGAGGCACTGGGTTCGATTCTCAGCACCACATATAAATAAATAGAATAAAGGCCTATCAACAACTAAAAATAATATTAACCAAAAAAAAGAATAAGGCCAGGTGCCATGGCGCACACCTGTAATCCCCATGATTCAGGAGGCTGAGGCAGGAGAATCACAAGTTCAAAGCCAACCTCAGCAAAAGCAAGGCACTAAGCAACTCAATAAGACCCTGTCTCTAAATAAAATACAAAATAGGGCTGGGTATGTAGCTCAGTATTCAAGTGCCCCTGAGTTGAATCCCGGGTACAACCCCCACCAAAAAAAAAAAAAAAAAATGGGAATACTGCTTGTTATATTCCATAAGGGATAATGCAACAGGATAAGTGTAATATTAACATCACTTATTTGCTACTGGATAGTCCTTTTTAAATGTAAATGAGCATACTTTCATGGTAAAGCAAAGTTGCCAATATTTGAATTTAAAAAGTACATTTTTAAATAACTTAAAAATGGAGTCCAAGTGAAAATAGGTGTTCTTAATTGAGCTCTTTGAGGGTCCACGAGTTGGTTTTCATAAAATCTGATTCCCTTGAAATTGTGTTAAAATGTGTGTAAGAGGGTGGTTCCATAAGATTATATCTACTAGTGATGTTATAGCCATCTTAATTTGCATAAGTACACTAAACAATGTTTGCACAATGACAAATGCATTTCTCAAAATTTGTTCTATTGTTAAGCAAATGACTGCAAAAGACCATGACAGTATATTATTTAGGTGCATTTCTGAAGAAGAAAGTCCATTGCTTTAATCAATTCTTAAAGAGATCACTGACCCAGACAAAGGTCAAGAATCCAATTTTGATGGATTTGTGTTCCTTCAATACATTTAGATTAAGCTGATTCTTCCTCTTTTGCTCCACAAGCCTGAAATATTTAACATTTAAACACTTTTTTTCTAATAAATTCCTCCTTTTTATTGTATATGCCTCCCCCCCTCGTTTTTAAATATTTTTTGTAGTTGTATAAAGATACCTTTATTTTATTTATTTATCTTTATGTGGTGCTGAGGATCGAACTCAGGGCCTCACACGTGCTAAGCAAGCCCTCTACAGCTGAGCTACAACTCCATCCCCATGTACATGTCCCTTTTAAGTAATTTGGATAACTTGAGGTTTTGGAGTTTTTTTAAGAATTTAAATAAGAAATTCCTTTGTTAGTCCTAAAATAGACCTTTGTGGTCATAACATGTATGACCACAAAATTTCAAACTCATCAGAAATAACATTTATATCACCAATCTAAGCTCTCCTGAACATGTTTTTTGGACTCTCTGAATGGAAATCATTAACATACATGGAACCAAACATTCTGTTGAATTAAGAATGCAAGCTTTCTGAGGACAATGCTTTGTGTCTGGGTTGTTAAACGCTATCCAACAGTTCCAGAACATGATAGGTGCTGGACCAAAACATTTGCTGAGCAAATACAAAGGCCTTTCATGTTTAAAGAAAATGAACCTAATTTTTAAAAGCGATTTCTACATTCTGGATAGTGTCACAGTTCACGCACACATTTCTGGTGGTGAAACTGGCACTGAATATTTTCTGTAGAAAATAAATGAGTGGTTTTGTTCTTGTCACTTCTGAGAAGTAAAGAGGTTGGGCAAGGTGGCAAATGCCTGTAAATCCCTGCAATTTGGGAAGCTGAGGCACCAGGATCCTAAATTCAAGACTAGGCTGAGCAATATAGCCAGTCCCCCTGTCAGAATACAAAATAAAAAGGGTTAAGGATATTGCTCAGTGGTAGAGCACTCCTGGGTTCAATCCCCAACACCTCAAAAAAGGAAAAGAAAGAGGTTCTTTAATTTGCTGGGCGCAAAGTAGTTGACATCACTACCCTAAAGAAACACTACATATGACCAGGTGTTTCCCATTGTGAGAGGCATGGGCTTAAAGTACCCAGGTTCTGAAAAGACTTCAAATACAAAAGTATAGGAGTAAATCAGGTCACTGGGATTTAATTCTCAATGATCTTTAATTTAAACGTCAAAATTAAATTGTATTTTTAATTTCAAGTACAACTTACTCCCCAGTGATAACCACAATAGAAGAAATATGAGCAGATGGGCGACCTAACAACATGTTCAAATTCACAAAAGCAAAAACAGCTGCAGATGCAGATGGATCAGAGTCCAAGGACACTTTTGAAAGGTCAGGAAACAGGAGGCAGAGAAACGTACCCTGAGCAAGGGAGCTGGAGTGTACACATTCGAAAAGAAAAAGGAGAACCAACCCTGGCACCTGACCTAGAAGCTCTCAACAGGCTGAGGCCGGCCCGACCAAACTCGCGGAGTCCCTGGGAAAACAGCATCCGAACTTATAGTCCGCAACGCGGGTGAGAACAGAAGCTTTTCTGACCAGTTCAGAATTTCAACCGAGACGGAGTACCAAACATCCAGGCAGGGCGTAGAGAGTCAAAATTCGATGCCAAGGAAAAAGCAACCCACACTGGATTACTGAGGTCTGAGTGGCACCGGGATTCCTAGGTAGAATCCCCGGAGGGATGCGAGATGGTTCTGTTTTGAGTTGTAAAAAAAAAATAAGTCGAAGGGGTCTGGGGAAATAAATCCAAAGACCCTTGGTCTTCTCTTCCTTATCCTCGCACACAAAAGACACATGCACACTACTCTCGGCCCCTAAAATTACTCAACCTCCGTGTTGCGTGTGCAGCGAAATC